AATAGCATATTCCACGTGCCCTCGCACGTAGGCGTTAAGCATTTGGGGAAAGATTGAGGGTTCAAACCGACCGAAGGCTCTGCGAAGAAGGCCGAAGTGTTGATTTCCGGTTCTCCTCGCCTTCTCTGCTTGTTTTGAACACCCGAGATCTTCCTGCACCAATACACCTAGGTCACGCTCCTGAGAGACCTTCGCCAAGGTGTGGTCTCCAATCTTGTAAGCGCTCACCAGCTGGTGACGCAGATGTATCACTTTGCACTTAGCCATGTTCAATTGAAGCTTGTTCCTCTTTGACCATTCGTAAATGCGATCTAAGTCACGTTGGAGCAGATCTTGATCTGCCTTGTTACTAATCGCCCGCCATATCTTGACATCATCGGCGAAAAGCAGGAAATTTGAGGAGATGACCCTTGCCAGGTCGTTGATAAACACCAAGAATAAACGCGGTCCCAGCACTGAGCCTTGTGGGACACCACATCCCACCTCAATTGGGTTAGAAAGTGATCCCCTAACACGTACTTGGAGCTTTCGTTGGTAAAGGAAGTTGCCAATCCAACCAAGTACAGGATCTCCGATTCCGTAACTCTGTAGTCTTTGAAGTAGGATGCGGTGATCAAGGCGGTCGAAAGTTTTGGAGAAGTCCAGATAGATGACATCGACTCCGACCCCATCATCAGCCACTTCCGTCCAACTACCTCGTGTAATAAGTAGGTTGGTGGTGCATGACCGGTGTTGACGGAAGCCATGCTGTTCCGGTACCAAAAGGTTGCATTTTTCTAGGTAGTCCATTAAAGCCTCAGCGACGACTGCTTCCATCAGCTTCGCGAGCACAGGGAGGAGAGTCACTGGACGATAGTTTGCAGGATCTGGAACGGCTACTGCCTTTAAAAATAGGGGTTATAATGCCACACTTCCACATAGTGGGGACTTGTTGTTCATCAAAGCACCTTTGAAAGTATTGTGACAGTGGTTCAGCTAGCTTGGTGGCCGTAGCCTTCAGTGCCTTCGGGCGAATGTTGTCTGATCCCGGAGAACTATGCTCACGCAGCGAGAGTAACTTCCTTAGCACAATTGATGGGTTGAAAATAACATTTGTAAACAAAGGTGTCGGTAATGTGCTTGATATTATGGGACAGGTAGAGGTTGCGAGTTCGAAGATTGGGACGTATTGCAGCCGCAGGGCATTAGCTGCTTCTTCGGCGCTTTGTACTCTACCGCCTGTCGTGAATAGTGGGGGTATTCCATGTTTCACTTTAGGAAGATTATGGACATGCCTATATTGCGTTTCGTTGTTTGCAAGACATTTTTTGGCTAGGCTCTGTTGATAAGTTACTTTGTCCTCACGGACAAGTGCAGTGCAATGGTTGCGATGGGTCAGGAAATTTCCCCAAGTCTCTGAGTCAGGGTTAATCTTGTAGGCATGCCATGCTGCATCCCTTATCGCCAGGCATTTTCGAGTCCTACTCCTTATAATTGAAGGCATTTTCGCGGGACGAAGGGGTTTGGTCTCTGATGCTTTGTTGACGATGTCGCTGAGCTTATTAACGAACTCTGCCCAAACGTTGTCAAGGGGACTTTCGTTTGAGAATTCCCAAGCAGCTTCGTCGGCGAGTTCTTTCAATACGTGGTAGCGTGTGATTGTATGAGTTAGTTCCGAGTGTTTAGATGGATACTCTGCACAACACACATAGTTGCATGTCATAACTACATGGTCACTGAGACCTAATGGACTATCCATCAATAACTTGTCAACCATGAGCTCTTCATTCGTGAGCACAAGGTCCAGTATGGACGGTTTGTTTGCTGTCCTGAATCTAGTGGGTGTGGTGACATGATTGTACAAAGGAATATTAGCGATCAGTTCATGCAAGTCTGCTTTGAACTGCTCACTGGGCGATGCCGAAACCTCCAGATTGTGTAGATTGAAGTCCCCGGAGATGAGAATGTGGCTGTACCTAGTGCGTGTTACTCTGTTTACGCCACGGATCAAGCAGGAATCCATTTTCAGAGTGGAGGTTGGGGGCGGTAAACGACAGCTACTAGACATGTGTCGTTGTGTCTCAGTCGGAGACGGCACCAGAGTGAGTCAGTAACGTGTGTTTCCAGATCATCAACGGTTGTACATTGTAGATCGCTGCGGTAGTAGAGTAGGACCCCACCTCTTCTGCCGGGGCGGTCGTTACGGATGAGTGACATTCCGGCTATCTGAACCTCAGCATCAGTCACCTCTTGGTGTAACCAAGTTTCGGTAATAGAAATTAGGTCCCAAGCATTCGCAACCTGAAGTAGTCGAAGT